CACTAAAATACTTCCTTGGAATAGAAGTTGCACGATCCTCTCTTGGAATCTTCCTAAATCAACGGAAGTATACTCTTGAGATTCTCTCCGATACTGGCCTATTAGCTTGCAAACCCGCCTCAACTCCCATAGAGGTTAACCACCAACTCACTCCTGATACTGGTGAACCTCTTACTGACCCCTCCATATATAGAAGATTGATTGGTCGTTTGCTCTACCTTACGGTCACTCGACCAGATATCACTTATGCAGTCAATCTTCTTTCTCAATTCATGTCCGCACCACGTGACACACATTGGCACGCTGCTCTTCGAGTTGTGCGTTATCTCAAAATGTCTCCTGCTCGTGGTATCATATTATCCACGAATAACTCCTTAAAATTACATGCATATTGTGATGCTGACTGGGCCTCTTGTCCAACCACACGACGCTCAACTACAGGATATTGTACTTTCCTAGGAACAAGTCCGCTATCCTGGCGAACAAAGAAGCAAACTACAGTTTCTCGATCCTCTGCTGAAGCTGAATATCGTGCCATGGCAAGTGCAGCAAGTGAAATTACATGGCTCCAACTACTCTTATCCGAACTAGATATACCAGCTCATCCTGCACATTTACATTGTGACAATCAAGCATCTCTCCACATTGCCAACAATCCCGTCTTCCATGAACGAACCAAGCATGTCGAAATTGATTGTCATTTCGTTCGAGAAAAGATTTCTTCTGGTACACTACGCACCACTTTCGTTCCATCTAATCAACAACTCGCCGACATCTTCACAAAGGGCCTCCTCCCTCAAACATTCAACGCCATTACTTCCAAGCTCATGTACCAACCTTGAGCTTGAGGGGGAGTGAAGAAAAATAATATCTATATTTATATTACATATATCTTCTAGAATATTTTATATATGTATTCATAATTATTTCCATATTCTTAGGATCATAGTTTAGGTAAATTCCTAGATGATTGGTTCTCTTACCTTTCTCACTTTTCCTACCGTTAGCTTAGTTGTATATATATACACACATTGTATTCTTCTTTCAATACACAACTTATATGCAATATATATTTTCCATCTTTCTCTGCAACAATGCTTGCAGTTTATTCTCAATTCCTTACACTTAAATTAACAAATAAATTAGTAGCTACAACAAAAAATAATATATATGCATTTAATTAATTTAGAATTAGATGTCTCACAACACATGAAACATGTAGGAAAAATTACCACTACCAAATAGCAACATGTGCTTGTAAGATAAAGAGTTCATAGCACAACTAAGATCTCAGTCATATACACAATAAGAGAAATCTAAAACTTCATACACCATAATCTCATTGCATGATGAATCCCTCTATGATACTACCAATAAACCAATTGCACATGACACATTAACAATAACAAAAAAAAAAAAAAAACATGTACTGAAGATGAAAACAATAACAATGCTACCTAAAAGAGAATTAGAAAATTTTAAACCAGAAATAATATTTATTTAGACTATCGCTTTTAGACTTAGTACTTAGATTAACGTTATTACAAAGTTGCAAACATTTATTTTTGTGACAGTTATATGTAATCAATCTCTCATATATTATCTTGCATTTATATACTTTAAATTACCGATTTAAATAAACAAATTCAACATTTATTTACCTATGTATGAATATCTTCTATATAATATTGCATTGATATACTTTAAAATACTTATTTAGAAATAAGTATTGGATATTATCCTATTCGCGCAAAGCGCGTAGAAAAATTAGTTTAATGAATAAGATTAGATAAGTTAGTAGAACTATTCAACTAAGATACGCTCCGCCGGGTGCTCGACGTACGTGTAAACGACAACAACATACGAGGGAATAAATGAAATTCAATATTGAAGCCCTTGAGTTTTTGGATTGTTGTAAACCCATGAGGTTGTACGCGGAGGCCATTTGAAGGGCCAAGAGTACTTATTGGGTTGTGTCATATCATACAAATATACTGAATCCAAAAACCATAAAACATATGCTCCAAAATACATCAACTTCTACTTCACGAGCTCGGACCCATTCAACTTGTAATTTTTTTTCCTTATTAATCAATTCCTTTTCGTTCAGTCTATCCACAGTCAACACCCTTCTTAACTCCATTTGGTTTCTGCAAAATTATTAGAGTTCCAAAAATATCATTCTTGAAGGTGTTACCTATAAATACGCCTCGTCTTCGCACTTGATTCCCATAGCCACATTCATTTACTTTTCATACTTGCTTAGCCACTTAGCCCACAAAAAAACAACAAAAAACAAAACAAAATCATGAAGCTTGAAGTTGGTATTCTTTGTATTATGGTAGCCACGTCTCTAGTGTTTCTACTGACCATCAACCCCAATGATGAAGACGGGAGAGTTGTTGTTGAAGATGATGAACAAGTATGGATGAGGAAGAATCATCTCATGCTACCGTCTAAATGGAGGCGTGTAACACCTCCAACTCCCAACTTCGATACCAATAATGTTAACGTTGTTGGTCTCAATGAAAAGAATTTTGCAACTACAAACATGAATCAACTTTTGTTGCCATCTGTGCAATGGAGACCTGTTGCCCCTCCCTCGCCCAACCCTGCAAAGGAAAATCTTTTCCTACCATCTTTGCAAACATGGCGCCCAGTTTCTCCTCCCAGGTCCAACTCGGGACACAATTCTGTTACTCCAATTGGCGAGATAAACTTTGCTAGTTCCGAGTTGAAAAAGGAACAAGTTTTGCTACCATCCCTACAAAAGGGAACTGTTACCCCTCCATCACCCAATCCTGGGACCAATTATGTTACCCCTCCTGGACCCAACCCTGCTTTGCAAAATTTTGTTAGTTCAATGGGTGAGAAAACCTTTGCAGCTCCAGAGTTTCAAAAGCAACAAGGTTTGCTACCATCCTTGGAAAGGGAACCTGTTACCCCTCCAACACCCAGTTCTGGGCACAACTCAGTCACAACGCTTAGCGGAATGGACTTTGCACGTTCTAAGTTGAGAAGTCAACATATTTTACTACCTTCCCTTCAAAAGGGACCTGTTACTTCTCCCGGATCCAGCTCTGGACACAATTCAGTGCCAGTTCCTCCCCTCGGGGAGAAAAACTTTGCATATTTGAAAATGATAAAGAACCATAATTTAATGCCGTATTCTCAGAAACTGCGGCCAACTACTCCTCCAGGAACAGATGTTGAGCAAAGCTCAGGTTGCAACATTATGGGTACTAAAAAGAAGTTTGCAGCCAGGAAAATGGGTGGTGATCGTCTTCCCCCAGTGGTTGTATCTCTAAAGGCTACTAGCTAAGTTAGTTTATAGCACTTAAAAACTAACTTGATAGTATTAAGTCTCTGCGGATCCGATAATCCCTTTTTCCTTCTCTTTTACTTTAATGTTTTTACACTATTATTATTACCTTTTTTTTTTTTCCTGTTTCTAATTTATTGTGGCCGTTAGTTATGAGACAAAATATAAGGATGAGGAATGTAACAACTAATGCTATGAATGATGGAGTAATAAAAGTGCATTGTTTAGTTCTATTATATAATTTGTTGTCTCGAATCCGAATATCACTGCTGAAAATTTGTCTTTTTCCGAACTCATTCCGACCACCCAAAAATGTGATCGCAAAAAATGAATTTTTTTTAATTTTTTCGACGAAGGGGTATAGTAGTCGGAGAGTGGTCGAAATTTCTGACCACTATTTACATAGTGGTCGGAAAAGTTTCCCCAAATTTATTTTTTTTTCGCCCAAACACAGTACGACGTCGTCGCTAAGCTCAAACGTAAAATACACTCCGCACGCCTTCAATCAGCCCAAACATAAAACACACTCCGCACGCCATCGCTCAGCAGAAGTAAACACTTTCCACCTCCGCATGCTGTCGCTCCCGCCTCCCGCCTCCCGCCTCCGCCGCTGTCTCAGCCTTCTCTACGCCGTCGCTCCCACCTCGTCCGACGTCTCAGCCTGCACCAAAGTTTCTTCCATTGTTGCCTCTTCCCGACTCTATCGCGGTCTCCATCGCCATCATACAGGTTAGTCCTCTAATCTTAAACCCTAATCCTTAATTTCCTAATTCAATTGAGCAGACCTGTGGCTACTTCCTAGCAGGGGCGTGAGGTAATTTCTTTTCTCTCATTTCATTTTAGGTTTAGGTACTTTTCTCTGACATACGTAATTTATGAGCTAAATGATGGTCAGTAGGTTAAAATTGAAATTGGTGAGTCTTTGAGTTGATGATTCAAATGAATTTTCTGAGCTTATTTCAGTTGTAATTTCTGATTAAATGGGGGAGAAAACAGCCTTAGGATTTGCTTGTTAGACTTGTTACTTTCATTATCGTACTAATCCTCTGATGTTTCTGACCCACACAATCATGTAAAATTTAAATTATATTGCAGCTGCACTGAAATTTTCTGCAAATTATTATCCATCAAGATAGGTCATAATTTAAACATTTAATAATGATAATAAAACTTTTTAAAAACAGAAATAAATAAATAAATCAAAGAACGCATGTTTCCTGCCCTTTCTTAATGATTTTGTTTTTGAAATGGCTAAATTTGTAAGATGTGTAAATTGTGTATCTTTCTTTTTACATGTTTATATACTTGCTGACAGGGTTGACTACCAGTCTCAGCCATCTTTGAGTGGTGTCTCATCATTCAAGCGCCTCCTTGCCGAATTACCCCCAAGAGTTCACTCAGTGTACTACAGGGATAACATAGGGAACATTTCATCCTCTCGTTTACGTACAACTGCGAAGAAGGTATCTCCCATGTTGCTCTCCATCTCTAGCCCTTATTGTTCTTATGGTAAAATAAAACTGAGTATTTTTTGGCGAATGCTCGTCATGCATTTGTTATTTTTACAATTTGCCTGTTATTTTCATCTTCTCTAGATTCTCTTTTAGATGGTTAACATAGTAGTAAACCATCTAAATATGTTGGGATGCTTTCTTTCATTGGGGCATTTTTCCCTTATTATACAGTCGATGATGAGACAGTTTCCGTGTTAGTCCTTTTGCTATTAAGACACTTTTCCAATAATTTTTCTTCTGGGAATAATATAACTGCATTTTGTATTTGTAGGGTATTAAAAGTGATGGCTTCATTTCTTTCACCCACAACCTTTGCATTGGGCTCTATCAACTTTGCTGACTATGAGCGTGGTCTCACTTTGACACAGTACTCTATGGTGCTATTGGTCTCTATCTAGATAAGGTATATTTTCTGGACTACTTTGTCCTATAAGTTTTATTGGTCAAGAGGAAGGCATAGCTGCAGTGACTTGTTACTTTTCCTTTAAATTGAAAATCCCAAGTCAAATTCATTCAATCATTCTTAAGTTTAAGTATTTTCCTGATCAATAGAGTAATGCTTTCATTTAAGGGACCTGAACATGAAAGGTTCTTTTGTAAAATTAGGGAAACAGGACAGGACTCTGAGTTCATGATCCTGAGTGAGATTTTTTATAGATAAAAGCAGTCCTCATCCTCTTGTAAAAAAGCACAGACCATGGCAATGATGTAGTGCCTGTGAATGGTCGTAGACTTACAATCTCCAAACTAGAATTCTCCAATCTTTTAGTTAATTTTTTAGACTGATGTTATGATTATTGAACAGACTGGGACACTAGATTTAGCTCATCACGATGAGCGAATGTTGGGACTCCATTTACTTCAATTTCCTGAGGTAAATTAATAATCCCTAATCTCATCTGCTTGGCATCAATCTTAGCTATGAGAGTATCAATTTTGCATTTTCTTTTACTCTTACTCTTGTAGGTTGTTGAAGAAGCTTGTACGAATCTTCTACCAAATTTATTGTGCGAGTATCTCTATAACTTATCCGAGGATTTCACAAGATTCTACACAAACTGTCAGGTATGCAAGCTCTCTATGGATAATTATATGAAACTAGTATCATGATTGCATTTACCAATTTTCAATATAACTCTTTAGTTGACTGTGTTAGCCTTTTGTAAAAAAAAAAAAGAAGTAAATTTGGTTTTGAATATAAAGTGATACGTACTTCCATGGTGTAAACCATCAAATAACATGTCTTGCTGCATTACCCTCAACATTTTGTTCCCATTTGCTGAGGTGGATTAATCATTTTGTGGGATTGTTCTTGATTACATATTATTCCCATGTTCACAGCTGAAACAACAGTCATGGATTATTCTTACTGGGTGAAGCGGGATAAAAATGCTATGTTATGCCATGTTTTATCGGTGAAAATGTACTTATACATTATCCAACGACTTGACTTTGCGGTTTTCAGGTGGTTGGCTCGGCCCAGGAAACAAGTAGGCTCTTGCTTTGTGAAGCAACCACAGTTGTGATGAGGAAGTGCTTCCACTTATTGGGTATCAACCCAGTTTATAAAATCTGATGGCCTATTTATACTCACCCTCTTGATACTTTTAATGATATTGATTTGTTATTTCCTGGCATGTATTTAAACCAGGAAATATCCTTGCTTTATCCAACGACTTGACTTTGCGGTTTTCAGCGATGTGGTCAAATGGACCACTTAGCAACAGATTGCGAAGAGAGAGGCTGGGGAGTTTGATGAAGAAGGTGATACTGAAGTGGTGGCAAAAAAGTCTTATCAAGTTAAGTTTTAATTTGGGTTTGATTACAAATCCAGTTCCTTTATGTACTACATTTGTATTTCTCTGCTTGGCTACTTTGAATTTGTGTTCGTGAATGGTTTAAAATTTCAAATTTATATTTGACACCCATGTTTCAGCTTGGCTTAAGTTGATGTGTTGCTCAGACCAACTTTTTTGGCAATTGAATTAAAATATTTCTTGATGTCAAGGGCTTGCCCAATTGCCTTTCATTGATGAAGCTCTGCTCCTTGCAGAGGTTGCAAAGGTTGAACATACATTGACGATAAGGTTATCTATCTTTATTACCCAATTGAGCTCAAAGAGATTAGTATTTTAATCGATCATGTAATCAAATTTTAATTACATTCAAAAAAAAAAAAAAATTTTAATTGAGCCAAATTGCCTTTCATTGGTATTTGTAGAATTTTAATTTTTTTTTTAATTAGTAAATCATACCGACCACCTAGTGGTTGGTAATTCAAATTTTTTAATTTTTTCTTTGTAAATTTTACCGACCACCAGTGGATGGTAATTCCGACCAATTACCGACCATCAGTGGTAGGAAATACGCTCTCTTTATCCGACAACTAATAGTTTCGACCTCCTAAAAAAGAAATCGGTATTTCCGACCACCTTGACTAGTTGTCGGTAATAGCGTGGGTTTTTTTTCCGAATCCATAAAATGGTCGGTAAGTTAGTCGGAAATTGTATTTCCGACCGGAAATCTCAGTGGTCGGAAAAATGCAGAATTCCAGCAGTGTATATTTCATATTTGATTGCAAGATAGATTTCTTTTGGATAAACTTCGGAGAGCTGCATGCAATAGGGTATGATCAACAGATCAAGAATGATCAAGGATTAATATAATCTCATCTCGGCATGAAAATCTTGCCGCTGAGTTTTAAATACAATAGCTTCTAATTTAAACTTATTAAAAGTTATTAACAAAAATCAAACTATAGTCATTAAAATTGTAACTTATAATTTTAACAATTTTTCTACCGTACTAATTATGCGATAATAAGCTACAAGTAAGAGATAAGGTTTAATCTCAGTCCTTGATCTATTCAAAATCAACCGCCCGGATTGAAAGAAACATAAAAAAAAAAAAAAAAAACAATAGCATTATGGTAATTGCACATTTTTTTTATTTTTATTTTTTGTAATTTTGAGTACTTTTTTTTTTGAATGCTACTAGCTCTATTACATTGTAATATCTGTTCATATACTTTCTCAACCTACTGAAACACAAAGAGCCAATAACGCCCCCTTCCAAACGGAAGTCCAACCCGGGTACCATTAGACCACATAGTCCTGGTTTGTAATTTTGAGTACAATTGCACATATGTTCAAAACTTAAGGTGCGTATATTCAAAACTTAAAGTGCGTATGTTCAAAACTTAAGGTGCGTATTTTTTGTTTATGGCTGGATATCTACAGTGCTTCTGCTTCCGCTACTGCGAGTTAAGTTTCTCGTTGATTATTCTCTGTACAGTTAGATCATATTTAGATCTCACATTTGGTATCAGAGCCTTTATAATCTCAGCCATGGTTGATATTATGTTGTGTTGCCTCTTGAGCTGTAAACCTGCTGGGTGTTAGCCGTTTTGTCTCATACTTGACTCAGAACCCTAGATGGTGTATTGGTATTTTCTGAGCATGAGTACCATAATAATGAATAATAATGTATCCTGTATCCCATCGATACAGGCTTTATATAGGCACATTGGTGGAATACAGACTTAAACCTAATTGTCCAGTCCAACCATTTACTTAATGAGCCTAGTCCACTTGCACCACATAAATAAGACCCATAATATATAATATGTATTATACGGGAAAGTCTTACAGTCTCCCACTTGGTGCAAGTACTAGCAAACTCTCATCAAAGAACAAAACACACGAACCATAGTAATATGTCCTCTTGATCTACTGAAAAAGTGAGTAATATCTCCTATGATCAATGCATTTTGATTCCCCAACTTGAATCCTTTATGAACAAACCCAATGTTTATTCTTGGTACCTTAAGGGATGTTTCTCAAAATAAAATATATATGCGCAACTTAAGAGAGAAAACCAACCAAATTGTACAAAAGAGTACACTGTATGATCTCTAAGATCCTTAAAAGCATGCCTTGAGTAGAGATCTCTTAATGTTAGTATAATGCTAACTATATTCTATGACTTCTTTATAAGTTAACATAAGCACTACCTCTGACATCTAAGAGCTTGGAGTTGACACGTCTGTCACTCTCACTCATCAAAATAGCCAAAAGATAGTAAGTCACAGAAACATTCCAATAACTTAGACAGTAAACCAAAACTCTAAGTCCATAAATTTGGAATGTTAAACATAAACCATATCTTCTCAAATAATCTTAAGGTCCACTTCAAAATGAACTAAACATTATGAGTCTTACTTTTATTTCTCACAAAATTGTCTTGAGCCTTACAAACCAAAATGACCCATGATCAATTTTGAAGAAACTAAAAACTCTATTAAATGCTAAAAAATTAATTATTAAATAACAGTGCGCCACAAGTTAAATGTTTTGTTCTAATAAACTCTTTAATATTGTTACAACATTTTCATAAATATGTTGCACAATCAATATGAATTTATATGAACAAATACAACATTAATACTTGTGGAATCCTTTGGACTTATTGTTGGACATACAATCCAATTTGATGTATGAATCCAATTAAATCTAAAATCTTTAGTGGAGTGTCTTAATGATCCTTTTCTAAATGATTGTTTGACATACAATCCAATTTGATGTATGAATCCAATTAAATCCAAATTCTTTAGTGGAGTATCTTAATGATCCTTTTCTAAATGATCACTCCCACTGTTCAGCGAAATTAATGATATACGTACTCATAATTGATTTGACCAACTAATTAATGAAGATATAACTCCCATAAATTAGACCCATAAACTCAATGGTCCAAGTGAGTTATTACATAAATAGAAAATGATCTAGTACTGAAATAGATCCAAACTTAATATTATTACCTACAATAATTACCATTAACAAAATATGGTAGTCAGTAATAAACTAATAATTAAGACTTAGTGAACATGTTATGCATAATAATCAATATTATTACCATAATAAACATGTTATACGTCAAAATAAAATTGCTATAATTATTATTAAAATATCACTCAATAATGGTGGGATCCATACTTTAATGACCCGGATAGATCCTAAATAGCTTGTTCAAAATCGGTTTTAAAGTCCCAAGTGAAATATAGGATTAAAATATGCTCAAAATTAAATGGGAAACCAAAACAAGCAACTTTAGTAGGTCATAATGTCCAAAATTGATCTAAGGATCCAAAGTTGAATGATATTTAATACATAGTCTATGAATTAATAATATGTTAAATCCATCCTTAAAATATACTTTTTTAAATGCATAATTATAACAATAAAATTATAAAAATGCTTAGCATGCTTGGATTTTGCATTTTAATATATATTAACTCATATATATCCTAAACAAATTGCAATACTTCAGACAATTTAATATAACCCTAATATTAAATTAAAATTTAAATAGCAAATCTAAAACTTAATATTTGCCTAAAGTTGAATAATAATCTTTTTTCTTTTTGAAGTTACTGGCTCTATTACATTGTAGTATCTGTTCATATACGTTCTCAACCTACTGAAACACAAAGAACCAGATGCTCGAACTTATAATCTTCCAAATGGAAGTCCAACCCGGATACCATTGGACCACATAGTCCTGGTTGAATAATAATTTAATTATGAATTTAATGTAAAAATTATTAGGAACTAAAAGACATCAATTTTTCAAGGGGAGGTACCGCCATGGCGCCATCTCTTCATCTTCGTCCACAGCATAGTTGGTTGCTGACCCATCCATTCTCTGTGCCGGAACTGCATCAGCGAAGACAGTTGTCGGCTACCAAAACCGCGAAGTTGCCGGAAACTCAACGCCTATCCGTCGAACATGCTGCGTGTGTCGCAGCACCTTCATCCTCCTCATGTAGCAGCAGAATCAATGGCCAACCTTTCTGGATGATTGAGAGACGGTCTCCCATCAGCTTCATGCTACGCCGTCGTTAGAAACGGAGGAGACAGCCATCACCCTTCTTAATGCCCCCAACCTAGCCACCCCATGGTAGTTGGTTTTCTTTACTCGTACGCAACAAAAAAAAAAAAAAAAAAAAAAAAAAAAAAAGGAGGAAAGCCGCAGCGCCCCATGGCGCTGCCATTCACCGGTGCTCGCACTTCACATCGCCGGCCTCCCCGCGCCGTCCATCTCTACCATCATTAGTTCCAGAAACAGAGGAGATGGTGGGAACCTAGCGCCACAGCGTGCCGTCCAAATGGAAACCATAACAGGCACTATAATCCGATGTTTCTCAATCTCCGGTGACACGTAGAACAACACAATAAATTAGCAACAAATTATATCCAAAAAAAAAATTATAATTCCAAGCAATTTTTTTTTTAACAATAAATCATTTACACGAGATTAAAATTGCTTAATGCCAAAAAAAAAAAAAAATTCAGTAGTCCAAAACTCATACAAAATCTTGATGTATATGAAAAAATTAATATTGTTTTTAGGCAAAACAATCAATCAGGCAGATTATAAAGGCTCTGATACCAAATGTGAGATCTACATATCTAAATATGATCTAACCATAGAAAATAATCTACGAGAAACTTAACTTGTAGTAGCGAAAGCGGTAGCACGGTAGATCTCCAGCCATGGTTGATATCTTGTTGTGTTGCCTCTTGAATGGTAGATCTGCAGAATAGGGTTAACCGTTTTGTCTCATACTTGACTCAAGGTACTTTCTGAGCAGCATGAGTACCATAATAATGAATAATATACTTCATTTACGTACGTTTAAATGATTAATGTGTTGTGTACGATGTATACATCTAATATAAGTAAAATTACAGTTCATTTACGTACGTTTAAATGATTAATGTGTGGTTAGGAACACTCATTCATGAAATTAAAATTATGGTATTGAATAAAATACTACCATACCATATAATTTAATTTACAAGTGATAAATTATTGAGCTATTACATTTCAGGTAAAATTAATATTATTGGCTTATTAATTACGTAGTACATTTTAAAGAAGAGAAAATTTCAATTTTGGTCCATTGATTATTGGAGTTGTGTTAATTGCAACACTTGACTTTCAAAAATATTAATTTAGTACCTTGACTATGTAATTTCTATCAATTTTGGTCACGCACGCCGGCCAAATTGCCGGCCAAATCTCACCAGAAAAATTTAATAAGTCAAATAATGAGGGTATTTTAGTCATTTTACTATCTTTTGTTTCTTCTCCAATCAGCTTCTCCCCATTTCCGGCTTCTCCGATGAGCTTTCTTGTTTTCTTTCCCTATTACTTCTCTCATATTTTACCTTTCTCCTCTGTAAAAAAAAACGCCGACAGCTAGTTGTAAACAAAACCGGAGAAGAGAGCGGAGGAGGAGAGCCATAGCTGCTAAGATATATGCTGGGCTGAGAGCTCATCAAGGGAACTACAATTTCCCTAAGCACTGCGACAACAATGGGCAAATTATGCTATGCGCACGTGCGCACCTTGCAAGGTGCGCACGTCTCTAAAACGGCGTCGTTTTCCCTGAAAACGACGCCGTTCTAATTATAAAAAAAAATTGTTCGAAAGGCCGTTAACAGCGTTAACAACGTATTCATTATGAAATTATGAATGTAGAGTTATGACATTATGAATGTACAGTTATAGAATTATGAATGTACAGTTATGGAATTATGAACTTACAATTATGAACATAGAGCTTCGAAAATTATGAATGTTCGGTATGGAATTATGAATATACAGTATAGAATTATGAATGTACAGTTATGGAATTATGAATGTACAGTTATGAAATTATGAACACAGAACTCTGACATTATGAACTTACAATTATGAACATAGAGCTTCGAAAATTATGAATTTACAGTTATTGAATTATGAATGTACAGTTATGAAATTATGAATGTACAGTTATAGAATTATGAATGTACAGTTATGAAATTAAGAACACAGAGCTGTGAATATATGCTCCTATAACGAAGCGGTCTGAAATTAAAAAAAAAAAAAAAAAAGATAACGGTGCCACTGACGGCACCATTACCGTGCCCATGATGCACTGGGCACGAGTCCACAGCATAACGATCCACAACAATGAGGTCCTCAAGGCTCTCTGTCATGAAGCAGGCTGGACCGTCGAGCCCGACAGCACCACTTATCGCAGGGTTCTTCTTCTTCTTCTTCTTCTTCATATATGTGAAATCAAAGAATGAATTTTTGTTCACTTTATCTCTGCTAATGGGATTTAACCTGGGTGCCATAGATCTAGATATTTACCGACATGGGTTTGCTTTGTTTGGATCATACATTGATGCCTGATTAGCTTTTTCCAAGATTTGATCCAGAAAAGATTGGATTCTTTCTTTGATATATAGGGCTATATGCTACTTTTCCTTTTCCTGTCATTGTATAACCCATGGCCCTGCTTTTCAACTGTTTCTCCGCTGAATTTATCCATATGTCTCCTCAATTCTTGAAAGATTTTATGGATTACACACCTTTCCAAAAATTCATATCGATTGGGTTTTGTTTACAGCTAGCTGTCGACATTTTTTTACAGAGGAGAAAGGCTGAAGATGAGAGAAGTAATAGGGAAAGAAAACAAGAAAGCTCATCGGAGAAGCCGGAAATGGGGAGAAGTGATCGGAGAAGAAACAAAAGATAGTAAAATGTTTAAAATACCCTATTTATTTGACCTATTAAATTTTTTCGGTGAGATTTGGCAGGCAATTTGGTTGGCGTGATCAAAATTGCATAGTGAAGGTACTAAATTAACATTTTTTAAAGTCAAAGTGTTGCAATTAACACAATTTCAATAGTCAGTAGATCAAAATTGAAATTTTCTCTTTTAAAGAAATATATATTATTTTCTATTATATATTATATTGAATATGCACAGATCTTTATTCGTGTGAGAGGCCGGATCAAGTTAAAAAATGTAATAAAAATCATAAATAAAGTATCCATTATTTATAAAGGAAATAAAGTATTACATTTTCCATATACTTCTCTTATAAGTATTACATTTTCATCAAATTCGATTTGTTTTACTGGACCGAATCATCTTGTAAAAAACTTTAATTGGATTACAAAATTAACGGTTTCAACAATAATTCAATTGATACAACGGGTTAAACAATAATATTGTCATGCATGATTATAAATATTATGCCCGCATGAGCAGCTCAACTTGTTCATAGGAGTAAAGTTTGGAAAGAATGACCAGAGATTATTGAGTCTCACTAGCGATAATGTGGAAGCAATCTCTCACGTAGTAAACTGATTTACAATTATCCTCCCAGATGCTGGGTCGTTATATCGTGGACCGCGGTGCATAATCAATTATGCACCGCGTAGTGTTAACGGAGTGACACTACAGTGTATCTAAACCGACAATGTCTCGCATATTATTTTTATATTATCAAATGAAACTGCAGTTATATCAAAATGATACTGTAGTTGTGGTGAAATGAAACTGCAGTATATATACAATGGAACTGAATAATATTTCACATATTTGAGTGTATATTCTACAATGAAGCTGTAATTATATCAAAATGATCATGTAGTTGTGTTTAATGAAACTATAGTGTATATAAAATAAAATTAAATAACATTTTCACATATTTGAGTGTATAAATATTGAATAAAACTGTAGTTGTGTTGAACTAAAACTGCAGTGTATACAGGGCCGGTCCTATCATTTTATAGGCCCAGGGCGTATGAACAAAAATGGGCCCTATATTAAATTAATATATATTTTTATAATTAAAATTTAAATTAAATAAGGAAAAAAATACTAATGTTGACGTGAAATAAGATTCACAAGTTTTTAATGATTATACATACAAATGAAAGTAATTCTAGATGCATTCTTAAATTTAAAATAGCCAATAACTGCATCAATGTTTTCATAAATAAAAAATTATTGTTTATAAAAATAAATAAATAATTTAAAACTAAATGAGCTTATAGAGAATCACATTATTATTATAATAAAAAATAAAGTAATTTTGAATAAAAATTTATAAAACAAACCTTACAAATAAAAGCATAGCAAAAAATCTTAATTATTGAGAGTAATAAATCAAAATACTCTAAACGTAATAAAAAATATTTATAATAAAATATGAAACATAATTAATTTGATAAAATAGTTCAAATAAAAAAGACACAATAAATCACACCTCTTCTATATTGATGTCATATTTATAAATACTTTTTTTTCTTTTAGTTAGATCAATTTCAAAATTTTTTTGATTAATTTGAATACGATGATACACAATAGGACTTCTAAACTACATTGACTAAATAATTCATAAAAAACTAAACTAAAATTACTTTTAAAATATTTTTCATAACTAAATAACAAAATATATTACATATACATAAATCAGTATAAAGTTCACAAAATAATACATATTTTAAATAAAAGTAGTAAATTACTCGAATATAAATATATTCAAAATTTGATATGAATCACAAATCAATCTATATTATAAATCTCATTATAATTATAAAAAGGTAAAAAAATATCACAAAGTTACAAATTAAATTTTAAAAAAATACAAATTAAAAATTTAAATAAATTTAATAAGTTACAAATTTAATACTATATAACAATAATATCCATAAATTCAATTTTAATACTATATATAATAATATCCCTAAAGAGTAACTGAGTGAGGAAAATCTTAAAGCCAATTCATCACACGCATATAAAGAGACTTGACCCCCAAACCTCACTCATTCAAACAACAAACTCTACCAACTCGGCTGACTTACAACACTTTAACATAATTGTATACTAAATATTATACCAATATCTATAGTATATATAAAAGGTATTGGGATAGGGTGGTGGGCCCCTTCCAAGAGTGGGCCCTGGGCAAGGGCCCAGCCTGCCCTTGCCCAGGGCCGGGTCTGAGTGTATACAAAATGATAAGAATAAAGTTATATTTTTGCTGATTCCGTTTCTTTTCCATTAAATAAGACGGCATCGTTTTGATGCGAGGTGCATAATCGATTATGCACCGCGGTGCACGATATAATTTGACCTAGATGCTCTGTCGAGTCCTTAGGGTTGAGGATTCAACATTTTGGGGAGAATGATTATAAATATTAAATATTATTTTAAAGACCCTTTCAACATATGAACCAGTTCACAATCGCTATGTACGTAGTATTCTGAACTCTGCATGCGGGACTATGGAGTCACGATCACTCATCCATGCGGCCGCATGAAGAAATGTGGAATTGAATTGGGAGAAGACGACAAATAGAAGGTTTGTTCTGTCGGGTCCTCCACGTGTAATTGAATTTCAACATTCAAGTCCTTCTGACTTCAATTCCTTCAATCTCAGATCCATCTAACAAGTTTGGCAACTAATTAAACTCTTCAAAGTTCTCCGCGCGAGTTTAGCTCACTGGTTCAAAAAGTAGTATTTAAAAGAAGAAATCAAAGTTCAAACTTCGACAATGGCAATGTGCAGATTATATTCAAAGCGGACAGATTCATTGTGCAGATTATATTCAAAGTGGACAGTCCTGTCTGCTGAACCATTGAGTCACCGTGATTTATATCCTTCTACATGTTCTGTCAGGTCGAGATGTGAGGACCCTTGAAAAGTTCAATCTGCTGAACCATTAAGTCACCGTAATTTATATCTTTCTAAATGCTCTGTTGGACGGAGTGTGAGGGACCTTCGAGGTTGAGAATTCAACCTTCTGGGAGAAGTTCTAGGGCATTTGAAGGGCCAAGACTTACTGGGCTGTGTTCATACAAATTATTATATGAAATTAAAGCTGTTCAGACCCATTCAAGTCGTGGCAACATGGCCATGTTACATATAAATATGCTTACTCTTCGCATTTAATTACTCCCACCCACAACAATTCCTTCATTTACTTCACATAATTTCTTAGCCAACAAAAACAATCATGAAGCTTAAAATCGTTACTCTTGGTATTGTGACTGTCATGTATCTGCTTTTTCTTCTGACCACCTACCCCTATGATGGAGACAGTAGAGATGTTTATGGAACTGGTGAACAAGAATGGATGATGAAGAATCATCTGATGTTGCCGTCTCCCAATGGTGCTGATCTGAACGAGAAGAATTTTGTAACTACAAAGAAAGGAGGGTTTCAGTCCAAAAAGGAATATCTTTTCTTACAATCTTTGCAGACATGGCGATCTAATTCTGAGCCAGGATCCAACCCCGAGCACAATGCAGTTGGTCCCGCTGGTGAGAAGAACTTTGCAGGATTGGAGTTGAAAAAGAAACGTGTTTTACTACTTTCCCTTCAAAAGCAGGGACCTGTTACTTCTCCCGGACCGAACCGAAAGCACAATTCAATTAAGCCTCCACCACCCAATCCAAGCCATAAACACCGCGTCAACACATTCCCTGAAAAGAACTTTGCAAGTTCTGAGTTGAGAAACCAACATGTTTTACTACCTTCCCTTCAAAAGGGGGGACCCGTTACTTCTCCAGGATCCAACCCAGGATACAATTTACCACCCAGTCCAAGTCATAAGCCAGTCAGCACATTCAGTGAAAAGAATTTTGCAAGTTCTGAGTTGAGAAGCCAACATGTTTTACTACCTTCCCTTCAAAAGGGGGGGCCTGCTACTTCTCCCGAACCAAACCGAAGGCACAATTCAATTAAGCCTCCACCACCCAATCCAAGCCATAAACACCCCGTCAGCACATTCACTGAAAAGAACTTTGCAAGTTCTGAGTTGAGAAGCCAACATGTTTTACTACCTTCCCTTCAAAAGGGGGGACCTGTTACTTCTCCCAGACCAAACCGAGGGCACAATTCAATTAAGCCTCCACCACCCAATCCAAGCCATAAACACCCCGTCAGCACATTCACTGAAAAGAACTTTGCAAGTTCTGAGTTGAGAAACCAACATGTTTTACTACCTTCCCTTCAAAAGGGGGGACCTGTTACTTCTCCAGGATCCAATCCAGGACACAATTTACCACCCAGTCCAAGTCATAAGCCAGTCAGCACATTCAGTGAAAAAAACTTTCCAAGTTCTGAGTTGAGAAGCCAACATGTTTTACTACCTTCCCTTCAAAAGGGGGGACCTGTTACTTCTCCCGGACCAAACCGAGGGCACGATTCAATTAAGCCTCTACCACCCAATCCAAGCCATAACCACCCAGTCAGCACATTCAGTGAAAAGAACTTTGCAAGTTTTGAGTTGAGAAACCAACATGTTTTACTACCTTCCCTTCAGAAGGGGGGACCTGTTCCTTCTCCAGGACACAATTTACCACCCAGTCCAAGTCATAAGCCTGTCAGCACATTCAGTGAAAAGAACTTTGCAAGTTCTGAGTTGAGAAGCCAACATGTTTTACTTCCTTCCCTTCAAAAGGGGGGATCTGTTACTTCTCCCAGACCAAACCGAGGGCACAATTCAATTAACCCTCCACCACCCAATCCAAGCCATAACCACCCAGTCAGCACATTCAGTGAAAAGAATTTTGCAAGTTCTGAGTTGAGAAACCAACATGTTTTACTACCTTCCCTTCTAAAGGTGGGACCTGTTACTCCTCCAGGACCCAATCCAGGAAACAATTCAGCACCCAGTCCAAGTCATAACCCAGTCAGCACATTCAGTGAAAAGAACTTTGCAAGTTTCGGGTTGAGAAGCCAACATGTTTTACTACCTTCCCTTCAAAAGGGTCCTGCTACTTCTCCAGGACCTAACCCTGGACACCATTCAATTAGTTCAATTGATCATAAGAACTTTGCAGGTTTGAAAATGAGAAAGAACCATATTTCTCTTCCATCTATGAAACTGCGGCCAATTACTCCTCCATGAACAACTCTTGGTCAAAACTCAGGGTGCAACATGCGTACTAAAAAGAACTTTGCAGATAGGAAAATGGCTTCTGCACATCCTCCTCCATTTCCTCTGGTGGTTAGTTGCATCTCTAAAGGCTACTAGCTAATTAAGTTACAGTATTAAATTTCAGCGGATACTGTCCATTTATTTGTTCTTTCTGTCTCTTTTTCTTCTTTTGTTTTTTCAAATTTATTGTAGTGACTGAATAAAATAAAATGAATGTAATAATTAATGATCTGAAATATGGAGTATGAAATAAAAGTGTCATGTTTAGTTCTATTATATAATTTGTTGTCTATATCTGCATATATATTTGCATGCGACAAAGAAAATTTAGAAAATTTCATGACTTAATAATATAATAAATGAATAATAAGAGTAAAATTAGTCACGAAACTATATATAAAAATGCAATTAGATCATCCATCTCAAAAAATATAAATAACTCCATAAACAAGCAAAAATATTGTAATTAGTTCAAAAGTGACATGTCTACTACGTAAATTGCTAAGATGGCGATTAACCTTTGATACATTATTTTATTTATTTATTTTATTAATTTTAGATATTAAAAAAAAAGTGACCCCTTAAAATATCAATATACGAGTAATATTTTAAAAATATAATGTAGAATCCAGACTATGTCTCGGATATCAGAATATTCATTTTTCTAGAATATCATTTTGAAATAGCAGTGCTATTCATATTTTAGATCATTGTTGTTGTATTGCATCTTTAATATGAATTCAAATTTAGTTGATTCTTATTATTCTAGACAAAATTTTATTGTAAAAGTTTATGGTATAAAATTAAGAACTAAGAGAGAAAAGTTCTTAGTTCTTCAAATTCTCTAATTAGTGCAGATTAAGGCACAAATTAATGAGGAAAAGTGTTTCGAAGGGCAATTTGATCATACGATAGCATCAACCCAAAACAAAATAATGTAAACATATCTCATTATCCTTTTCAAAGGTACACTAGCAACAAAAGGAAAACCCCCAAACACATGACCTCACGCCGGTAGAGATAACAATGCCCTCCAACTAATGTACAACCCAACGCCTTACGTTACACCACACCTAGCACACTACTGCATAGCCTAATGTCCTATGATGCACCCTCCTAAAATCATAAATTTGTTTTTATTTTTTATTTTTTTTTTTGCACACCTCACATCTTTTTTGAGAAATTCGAAGCAAAATATTCAGAAATTCAAATCGCACCAGAAATATCAATTAGCAGAAACATCCAGAAACTGACCCAACTTTTTGAATTTTTTGAAAAATATTGGTAACAAATTTTGAGACCAAATTTTCCATATATCAAGTTTAACAAAACTACGACAGGCACAAAAAAAATTCAAAGCAAAACAATGAACGTAACTAATTTTTTCTGATTTTTCAAAGTTGATCGCGCAAAACTGCAAATTTCTGACAGATTGTGTTTTTTTCTACTCAAAATAAAGTTTGAGATGGATTATAACTTATTGGAGCATGAGGAAAATCTAGGCTCTGATACCAAATGATACAAAACTGGTTGGCTTGATCTTTTCTTTTTTTCAAACTCTAATATAAAGAAGAGTTAATACCCAAAATAGTCCCTCGACTATGTCGTAATTACCAATTTGGTCATCGACTATCATTCTTACCCAATTAAGTCCTCAACTATACAATTTTTACCCAATTTAGTCCTTTGTCAATTTGACTGTTTGTTGACTGTCAAAAGTGGAAATAAAGTTGTAATTTTACAAGTTTTCTCCTTCCTCCTCATTTAGCAGCGCAAAACATGTAGCAATAAGCTCCGGTTGGGTTCTAAACCTGTCAGTATCGAAGTAGTGGTTATGCATCGGATAACCCATGAATTTGATTTCCAACGATTTTTTGACGATCGAAATCTGATCGGAGTGTATTGCTGCATGGTTTGGCGCTGCTAAATGGAGAGGAAGGAGAAATCTTGTAAAATTATAATTTTATCCCGACTTTTGACAGTCAACAAATAGTCAAATTAATACAGAGGACTAAATTGGGTAAGAATTGTATAGTTGAGGACTAAATTGGGTAAGAATTGTATAGTTGAGGACTTAATTGAGTAAAAGTTACATAGTTGAGGACTTAATTGAGTAAGAATGGTAGTTGAGGACCAAATTGGTAATTATGACATAGTCGAGGGACCATTTTGGGTATTAACTCTATAAAGAATCTCATAGAATGGCTTATTTTGTTGGGTGAATTTGATTCAAAGGTTTAACTTGGGCTGGGAAAGGGTTGGGTGAATTTGATTCAAATTAAAGCTTTAACTTGGGCTGGGAAAAAAAGGCTAATTTTTTTTTTATTTTGATAAGTTCACGGCCACAACGGATTATAAGGTGATACATGGAGTAAGAACGACGCCACAAGTGAGGTTTTATACTTGATAAGTCAAGATGGCCATGACCGACTCACGACCGAATTGAACTCATTTCGAGTTCAAAAAAACACTCTGTTTTCTAACTCAAAAAATTCAACTCTCTATTTTATTCATATAAGACAGCGATATTTATAGTTGTAGATCCTAGTTTCATTAGACACTTCCCAAAAGAACTAGAAATTCTAACAACTAAAAACAAACTAATTATGATAAACATAAATAACAAACAACACTAAAACTCCTAAATCTAATTTAATATAAACTGACTAACTATAAAAGCACACAATCAATTTAAATCACAAATTAACTAACTAAATAATGAATATAATAATTCCCAAAAACTAATTAATTTAAAATTATAATGGCACCATAATTTATTAACAACTCAATCATGGATTGGCTCACATGTTCGCAACAGTTGGCTACCCTAGTTCCAGTGTCTTGTCACTTGGATACTGCCACGGAACCATTTCCCAACCCTACAGGAGTCTAGCCGGGGCTTTGTAGTACTTGACGGTGACTCGTCTTGATATGTCTTTTGCTATAAACTAACTGTGCCAGCATATGCATGCTCCTTCTGTGGCACATTGGTCTCAACTGAAGTGTGTGCTGCGGTCTATTAAGGGTACCTTACACTTTGGGCTTCGTTTGTGCAAATCTCCTACAACTGATATTCATGTGTTCTCTAATTCGGATTGGGTTGGCTGTTCGTAGATCGAAAGTTTAGGAGTTGTTTTGCAGTGTTCATGGGCTCAAATTTATTCTCATGGGTGTGTCGAAAGCAGCGCACATTTGCCAGGTCTGAGGTAGAATACAAGGCCCTTGTTGATGTCGGTGCGGAAATCACGTGGATTGTTTCACTATTGCGTGAGCTGGGTATTAGCCAGTGCCTGTCCCGAAACTGTGGTGTGACAACCTTGGTGCTACTTATATGTGTGCCAATTCGGTATTTCATGCGCGCACGAAACACGTGGAGTGATTATCACTTTCTTAGGGATAAGGTAGCATCGGGGGAACTTCAGGTTAACTTTATTTCAACCAAAGATCATCTAGCGGATATCTTCATTAAGGCACTTCCGGCTTCGCGGTTTGCGGCTCTGCCGAACAAACTTCATGTTGTCGGTTCAACATGAGCTTGCGGGGGATTGTTAGGACTCTTGTACTCCTAGTTGTAGTATAAAACTTCCTTTCGTATTTGTTATATCTTATTGTATCCTTATCAGGTTAATGCATGTTTAATTACCTAAGTCTAATCGTCACATCAAAGAGTAAAAGTGATGGAGTAGAAATTAAGAATCTATATAATAGAACTCTATCAAATAAAAATTGACCCTTTTAACTACAATTAGATGGACAAAATTCAATTAGATTAAAAGACATTGATCGAATTAAATATTATTTTAAAATAAAATTGTAAAGTAGAATTGTGTTTTAACCCAACAGGGTAGCTCAAGTGGCAAATGAGCTCTCTTTGTGGGGGAGAATTCCAGGATAACATGGGTTTGATTCCCACAAGTGACGATCCCTTTTGGGCCGTCTTCTGTGTCTCTCGGAGCGAACCGAGTGGACCTACACCGTTTAAACGGATAGAGAAAGACCCGGACCACAATGTGTGGTTGACACAAAAAAAAAGTAGAATTGTTCAACATAAATGAGATTCCTAAGATATGGTCCGTCGGGTCCTTGACGTACGTGTAAACGTCAACAACATACGAGGGAATAAGTGAAATTCAATATTCAAGCAATGAGTTTTTTGCACTTTTAGTCCCACGACTATAGTGGCACTGGCAGAATTGATCCACGACTTTTGAACCTTGTAATTTTAGTCCACGACTATTGATCTTTTTGCAAAATGGTCCTTCCGGCCACTTTTCCGTCAAAATTTCACCGGAAAAAAAAATTCTCTATTTTTAGCTGGGTTAAATGCGGCGGCGGAGTACATGTACCAGTCCAAAGCTGTTGCCGGATAACCCAACTAGCCCGGGGAACGCCACGGCCGCTCCGCCACTTACTGACAGCCCTGCCTGCTCCAGGAACTCCGCCGTCTGGGACAGTAGTATGTAGCCCAGTAATATTGTATGTAGTCAAATATCAATTTTTTTCTTTTAATTTGTTGAGATAAGTAAAATGTCAATTTTAACCCGGCTAAAAATGAAGAATATTTTTTTTTCCGGTGAAATTTTGACGGAAAAGTGGCCGGAAGGACCATTTTTGCAAAAAAATCAATAGTCGTGGACTAAAATTGCAAGGTTCAAAAGTCGTGGATCAATTCTGCCGGTGTCACTATAGTCGTGGGACTAAAAGTGCAAAAAACTCTATAGCAATCAAGCCCTTTGAGTTTTTGGATTATTGTTATACTTCAATTCCTTCACTCTCAAACAGACACTTGATAAGTTGTTGGCAAGTTCTACGCGGAGGCCATTTGAAGGGCCAAGAGTACTTATTGGGTTGTGTAGTCATACAAATATACTGAATCCAAAACCCATAAAACATATGCTCCAAAATACATAAACGTCTACTTCACGAGCTCGGACCCATTCAACTTGCAATTGTTATACGGTGGATCATGG